TATGCGTTAACTTGACTAGGCCATGGGATACCTGGGTATTTGGTTAAACATTATTTCTAGGTGTGTCTGTGAGGGTGTTTCCAGATGAGATTAGCATCCAAGTTGGAAGACTGAGTACAGCAGATCCACCTGCCCCCCAACCCACCATGTAGAGGGGCCTCATCTAATCAGCTGAGGGCCTGAATAGAACAAAAAGGTGGAGGAAGGGAGAATTCCCTCTCTCTGGTTGACTGTATGAGCTGGAACATTGGTCTTCTCCTGCCCTCAGACTGGAACTTACATCACTGGCTCTCCTCTTTCTCAGGCCTTCAGGCTCAGGGTGGAACCACACCACTGGTTCTGATAAGTCTCTAGCTTACAGTGGGTCATGAGACTTCACCTCCATAACTGAATGAGCCGATTCCTTATAATCAATCTAAGAGAAAACAGAATCCTAATAATAGAACCAATAAAAGATATGTATGTGTATATATATATGTACGTATATATATATATGTGCTCTTACATATATACACGTACACACATATACATATATGTAAGAGCATGTGTACACACACACATACATATCTTTTATTGGTTCTGTTTCTCTGGAGAACACTTATTAATACAGTGATCCATTTAAAACAACATTAGATCCAAAATAACCCACAAAAAATAAAATAAAAAGGGGGGAAAAATTACATCATGTTACACTGTGGGTTAAAACCCTCCAAAGGTTTCTTTCTTTCTTTTTTTTTTTTTCCTCCAAAGGTTTCTGTTCTCACATCAACCTAATGTCGAAATTCTTATCATAGCCTGCAAGGTCCCACCCACAAACACCACTATCTCTCTGACCTCATGTCTGATCTCCCTACACACACACACACGCACACACACACGCACACGCATACACATGCATGCACACGCACACTGGCCTCCTTGCTGTATCTGAACATATCAAGCACACTTCCAGCTTAGGACCTTTGCTTCCCTCTACCTAAAACTCTCTTCTCCCAGGCATCTATACATCTATACACTTGTTCCCCATGTTCTTCAGGTCTCTGCTTAAATACAGAATAATGTATTTTCTGCTTAAATAAGAAATAAACAAATAATAGAGAATAATGTATTTTCTGCTTAAATAAATAAACGCTTAAATAAGTCAACCCTCTGTATCCGTGCGGTGGGCAGGTTGGTTGGTTCCAGCACCCGTGCCAGATAACAAAATCCACTGATGCTCGAGTCCCTTAGACAATATGGCCTAGTACAGTCGGCCTTTCACATTCCTCAGTTCTGCATCCGCAGATACAGAGGGCTAACTATAACACCTTGGCAGTGAGACTTCCCTGACCATCTAACATAAAATAGAAACCCCCTCTCCTTCAGCTTTCCCTATCCCCTTCCGCCTGCTTTGTTTTTCTTCAGAGCACATATCATCTCTGACTTCTGCATTTACTTATTAGTGTCTGTGTCTTGCACTAACCTGTGACCTATTTGAAAACCAGACCTTGATCTGATTATTTACGACTGTATCTTCACCATCAGAGCTGTGCATGGCACAATAAATCTGTTGAATAAATGAAGCCCAGACAACCAGATCTGAAATCTATTCTCTTAAATGTCAAGCCATTCTGGCATCCAGGAAAGGAACTTCTTTCACTAGGAAGGCAGGGGCATTAGATCTAAGGTCCCTTCCAATTCTAGGACTATGATGCCATGACACCATCATTAGGGCCTTAAGAGCATGGTTCTCTCTGCTGCTCTTTCCTTTGGCCACATTTTACCACTTTCCTCAAATAAGTAAGTGGTAAGCATTAGGCAATGGATGAGATCATAGGTCCAGGAAGCCAGCTCCCCCTTAAGTCATCCCTAGTCCATTTCTCATGCTACTACAGCTTGCCCTTATTTCTCAGATGCTATCTGACCTGCAGCCACTCAGTTGTCAGTGGAAAAAGAGAGTATCAAAATTTGTGTTTTTACACCAGTGGCTTGACTGCCAAATATACAAGTCATCATAGTTTTATCATTAAAACTCCAGTCAAGCATAAGCAGCAAGAACATTGAGGTCATTTACAAATAAACAAAGACAAAGATAAATTTACCAACTCACCATCGATCGTCCAAGATAAAGTTAAGGGAAAGCATAAAACCAACCCTGCAAGCCAGGCTATATTTTAGTACCAGAAACCAACAGAGCAAGAGAGGGCTCTGAACTGGCAGAATTTACTTCTGTCTATTTAGTACTACTAGAAGACATGGGACTCCAGGGAGCTGGAGATTTTAAAACTTCAGGAAAGGCTGGCAGGTCACATGACCAGAAGAGGGGACGGAAAACTGTTCCATAACATTGCTGGAGTAAGATGCCTCATTATTTCCTGCAGTCCACAGAGTTCTCAATAAAAGACACTAAAAATGATACTAGATTAAACATATCAAGCCAGTAAGTAATTATATTACTATATTCTTATTGGGGGTCAGCAGCTCTTAAACGTTAGCTTGAGACACTTTCATCTGAATCTTTTACATCCACCAGAAATGTGCTCACCTATTGACTTTCCAAGTTGTGTTGGTTCTTGATTTTTCCTATAAGTCCTACTGCTAGGTCTTCAGTTGAAACATGCAGCCATTAGCCACTCTTTGGACAGATCCAACAGAGAAATTTCTCTTTCTCAACCCTAACTGCTAATCTGTGGGTGTCTCAGAACAGTAGTGAGTTGAAATCACCTATATAACCACCTTTTTTTTTTTACCATCTTTATTGGAGTATAATTGCTTTACAATGTTGTGTTAGTTTCTGCTGTATTACAAAGTGAATCAGCAATATGTATACATATATCCTCATATTCCCTCCCTCTTGTGTCTCCGTCCCACCCTCCCTATCCCACCCCTCTAGGTGGTCACAAAGCACCAAGCTGATCTCCCTGTGCTATGTGGCTGCTTCCCACTAGCATTTGGTAGCGTATATATGTCCATGTCACTCTCTCACTTTGTCCCAGCTTACTGTTCCCCCTCCCTGTGTCCTCAAGTCCATTCTCTACATCTGTGTATTTATTCCTGTCCTGCCCCTAGGCTCTTCAGAACCATTTTTTTGTTTATTTTTAGATTCCATATATATGTATTAACACACGGTATTTGTTTTTCTCTTTCTGACTTCACTCTGTATGACAGTCTCTAGGTCCATCCATCTCACTACAAATAGTTCAATTTCGTTTCTTTTTATGGCTGAGTAATATTCCATTGTATATATGTGCCACATCTTCTTTATCCATTCATCTGTTGATGGACACTTAGGTGGCTTCCATGTCCTGGCTATTGTAAATAGAGCTGCAGTGGACATTGTGGTACATGGCTCTTTTTGAATTATGGTTTTCTCAGGGTATATGCCCAGTAGTGGGATTGCTGGGTCATATGGTAATTCTACTTTTAGTTTTTTAAGGAACCTCCATACTGTTCTCCATAGTGGCTGTATCAATTTACATTCCCACCAACAGTGCAAGAGGGTTCCCTTTTCTCCACACCCTCTCCAGCATCTGTTGTTTGTAGATTTTCTGATGATGCCCATTCTGACTGGTGTGAGGTGATACCTCACTGTAGTTTTGATGTGCATTTCTCTAATGATTAGTGATGTTGAGCATCCTTTCATGTGTTTGATGGCAATCTGTATATCTTCTTTGGAGAAATGTCTATTTAGGTCTTCTGCCCATTTTTGGATTGTATAACCACCTTTTTATAAAAGGCTAATGAGGAAGCAAGTCAAGCCTTTACACGATTTCCTTCCTCTAAAACATTTTTCAAAAACAGAACAGCTCAGCATACTGACAGAACTTAGGAAAGAGAGGAATAATAATGTTAACTTACTAGGGGTTTGGGACTGTGCTAGCTGCTGTACGGGGATTCTCATTCGATGCTTCCTACAACACTCTAAGATAGATACTACTATCCACTACTCTGCCTTCATCCTACAGCTGAGAAACTAAGTTTCACAGAAGCCAAAGAACTTGCCTAAAGTTATACACCAGTAAACAGCAAAGCCTGAACCCGAGCCTGGGTCTTCCTAGCTCTGCGTCTGCACTTTTAACCACTATGAGTGCGACACTGGAAGGGAAGAATGGAGGTGGGAATAGAAAAATGACATTCCTTCCTCCTTATGTAGGTATCGGTTAGAATCCAGGAAAGAACCACTGCAGGTTCTTTGCTTCATTTGAAAGTTACCAGTCCGTGTGGGTGCGCATGTATGTTTGGATGTACTCAGAAACATACACAACGTATGCACGCACACACACTGCAAATCTTCCCACACTGTAAATGTCTCCCAGGCTATATGTGGGCCTTGCTTAAAGGTCACCCAACAGGCCCCAAGGAAAAGAAGGGCTTGGTTTAAAAAGCTTTATATTTCCTCTCACTTTTTCAAACACTGGAAAATCCATTTGGCTCAGAGAAATGAATAGTAAAAGGAGTTCTAACTACTTAGAGCCAACAAAACATAATGGAAAAAAGGCAAGAATATGGCTGGACTTTATTTTCTTTTTGCTCAGCACATCCTGTCTTTAATCTGAATGGTAAATAGGCCATGCCAACATACTAACTCTTTTTAGGTGAAATTATCTAGGTTATGAAAACAAGCAACAACTGTGTTTTCATTATTCGTGGCTGACAGAAATAGCTTCCAAAATAAATCAGAGAGGCAAATATTGCTCACAAGGGAGAAACCCACAAATTTTCCCTCCTTTGATAATGGATTTTTGTGAATTTTTTTTTCTTTCCCTTGAATTATAATTGTGTGGTATTATCTGAAAGAGTGTGTTGCAAAAGCTAGAAAACGGGAATTTGAATTTTCATATTTGCATTATTTAAATCCATGGGGGAGGGTGGGGAGAGAGAGAAAGAGACTTTTTCCATATTATTATTAATTAACATCCCTGAGATATTTAACTTTCAAGTACAACAAGTAATTTTATAACACCTCTCTCTGTAACCCCACAATATCAACTTCTTTGGCTCTGTGATGCACCTAATGATTCATGACTTAAGTCATGCTAGTGAGAGCTCCACCCATTTTTGTCCGTATATTTAGCTTCCCTCGCTTCATACTATACTTTCTTCTCTATGTTAAATCTGAGCAAACAGTCTAACAGAAACCATCTTCTCAAATAGAACATGGTAAAGCTTCTTTTAACAAGAAACTAGATACATCGATGGATTATTTGAAGCAACATCTGTCCCCTTCCTCTCTCTGGATGTCATTTAAATCAAGAATTACATCCATAGGGTAAGTCAAAGCGGCATTCTTCCATGCACTGGTTGTGGGGAAATTAATAGGTATTCCACTCAAAAAAAAGGTGGCATTGGTCAAACGGAAATGCTTCATCAGGAGAAGGTCAACAGGGTCCCTTTGCTTTCTTTCTAACCACACGATTTTACAGAGTCTCTAAAATGCAATTATGCTTTACATGCCTCCAAGAGAGGACTAGAAAACATACACGTTTCCAAGCTAATTTGACTTGGAAACAGAGCTGGAGGGTCATGGAACACCCTTGGGTTAGGGAACACCTGCTTAAGCGCCAGGTCTGAGCTGGCCTACAGCCAACGGTCCAGTTAGACACTGTCCATCCTGTACTCTCCAAGCACACTGATCACACTGTTTCTTAGGGAAAGCAGGACAAGGACAGAATGTATAAAGAGCTTTATTGAAATGATGAAAGTATATAAGTATAGCACCATCTCTAGCAAGAGAACCATTACATTTGGACATTCTCCTCATGGGAGAGGGAAGAGGGAGCCATCTTAGCAAAACCATTTTAAATATATGGCATGCACAAGAAGGCTTTCCCAGCCAATAATTGGAAGATGTCATCCAATCGTACTTAAAATTGGGAATTAGTAGTATATAGCCTATTAAAAAATGTCACAGGTTTCTTTTCAGCCTTGAAAACACAAAACACATTTAATATCTTTAATTTGAATGCAAATCAAAATCTAGGGGGATCAGACACATTTTTAACTGGTATTTTTAACTGGTTTTTAACATCAGTAACCCTCAGATACATTTTTAAACTGGTTTTTAAAAAGAAGAAATAAGAGCTCTAACAGAAACGTTAGAATAGTATTTCAGGTGAGTCTGGTATCAACTGCAAATTTATAGACACTAATGTAATCAAACACATACAGCTCACTATTTTGGCAGATCATAGAAAATGGGGTATTGGGAAGCCAGGGAAGGTTAATGTTTACAGCGATGAAAAGTTCCCAAGTTGGAGGGATACCAACAATACCAAGCCATTTGTCTTTCTGCTTTTGAGTACTCCCCAACAATGAGGAAGTATGACTCTAAATGACAGAATAATCTAATTGTATTAACTCCTACCCCCAAACTGCTGAAGGAGAAATAAGAAGCAGTTGTGCTGTCTTTAACTGGGAACTAAGATCTATGGAAACAATAATATGGCAATGGCAGCAATCTGTGAGTATGAAACACAGCCTTTGCTTGTCTGTGTATTCCTTATCCAACGTTGACGCACAAATTTGAATTCTGCTCTTCGAGATCTCATTGCAAAAGGTGAATTCCATATCCTGCTTTGAAACATCATTAACCCTCAGACAAAAATTTCCACTCTGGCTTTAACCGAATGTTGCTTCTGACTCATTTGTTTCAAGGATTAGCAAAGGTCCTGAAGCGATGTGAGAAAGTCAAAGAAAACAGTTTTGAAGCACAGCACTCAGAAACAAAGTAAGACCAAAGGAAACTGAAGCTGCCCCGTGATGACAAGGCCATTTCCTTACTTCCTGTGAAGCAACACACGCTGACAAGATGAGGAAGAACCAGCATAAACATCACTTACTGAAGCCTCCTTCTGTCCACCCAACTATCAGTGTAACATCCTGGTCCCTACACTCCTAACCTCCTGCTCTGCTTTTTTTCTAAGCCCCTATTACCCACTAGTATGTAACTTACCTACTTAGTATGCTAATTATTTATTATGTAACTCCTTTGATAGCATGTAAGTTCCTAAGAGCAAGGATCTATGCTGGGTTTTGTTTATTTAACTGATAAATCGCAGTGCCTAGAACAGTTCCCGAAACACACAAATGCTGCTCACTAGATATATGTTGAATAAAGGGATAAATGATACTATTTCTTTGCCATCTTTGGATCCTACAGTTGAAAACATAAGGAAAGGATTTTAGTCACTTTCCTTTTTACCTAAAAATTATTGCAAGCCTTCTCTCTGTGCTAATCGTCAATCCAAAAGAATTTAAGAAAATTGATATAAACTAGCTAGAAAATGTGTCATGTTAGTTAAATTAACTTAGAAAAAAGAGACGGAGCAAAATTTATTTCAGCTTAACTGTTTTTTTTTTTAAAGTATGCTTAGTAAAATGTCTTTTTATAAATTATTCCAGTATTTCCTAAATGATTTCTTTCTCCTTACTCCCGTTGATTTAAGCACTGATCACTGTATCTAAACTGGTCAATTTCCTTCACAAGTCAGGGGTATTAAACCCACATTTGGCTGGTGATTATTATACTTATTGTATAATAAATATTAACAGTCTGTCCATACAAGGCCTACCAAAGCAAAGATAAACAGTGACTACTGTAATTTAGGCATAAGGCCCTCCCCTCTACCATGCTGAAATGCCCAGCACTCTTCCTAGCTGACTCTTAATCCATCCTTAGTTTAAAAGTGTAGCTAATTCAAACACACAGGACACACAGGAGAGAGGTAGGTACCATAAATAGAGGAGAGATCATTTATTTCTGGGCCTATGAATACAGGCCCAGAGTAGCTATATCTTGCTACTTTTTCATTTTTTCATGAAAAATTTACCAATTTGTTATTTGAAATTTCCCAATTGGGGACGCAAACAAGAATGTGCTGAGGCCCGAAGTAGCCCACAGGCATCAGTTTACAATCTCTTGTTAAGGCCTCAGGTCAGAGAGCACTGCCACCAGGAATCCCCCTCCCACTCCTAAAGTGGGTGAGGCACTCCTGCGGTATGTTACCTCTAGCCATCCCTGATTTCACCAAACTCTTGTATAGTTCCTGCAATGTGTCCATCTTTTCTGTGGGGAGTATCTTACTTATCTTTATATTCCCAGCATCAAGTGCCTAGCACAGAGTAGGAGCTCAAAAAACCCTTTAATAAATGAAAATTTGAACAAGACCACCTGGTTCACACTTCTAGTAGCCCCCGTGAACCCATCAGTCCATTTCCTATTTTTCTTCTTTAACCAACCAGCCTTCAGGGATACATGCAATCAAGGTCACGGGCCTTGATACCAAGTGCCAAACTAAGAGACAAGCCCACCCCTGAAGATCTTAGGGTTATATTTGTTATGAGGAATAAGCAGCATTCGGCATACTGTGAAAATAGGAAAAAAAATTTAAAAAGGAAATTCGACAAAGTAAAACAGCTGTATACCATGTGCTTTGTAGGAGACGAGCAAGTACATGAAGGAAAATTCAGCAAATTGCTACCTGATTTCTCCATCATTCAAGACACTTGATGAGCTTCTTACAGATGATAGTTAACTAAGGCATGTTTAAAATGTCTATTTTGTTCCTTAGCTAGAGCTTTAAGAACAGAAAGATGCTGCTTATTCAATCAATAATTAAACTTCATATACGTGTTACACTTTGCCTAAATCCCAGTAAATGTCGGGTTTACTACTCAAGATAGCATTTGGAATCATATCCAAATGTGGAATTGCTCTCCCAAGCAGAATCATATTGTAGCAAACTTTGGCTTCTCAGTAAGTCACAGAAGTATATCCTGTATTTTTACAATTCTTCCCTTTGTATTTTCTCATGATGAAAGCATCAGGGTAAACTTACAGCTGTGCAAAAGATGCACCGGCATTCCTGGAGCGTGGTCATCTTGTCCAGAGACTGTTCACACAGGCAGAGTTTGCAAGTGACGAGGGGGGCCAGAGCTAGGTCTCCAGGTGTGGGATTTTCGGCAGCGGTCATGGTGAGACAGTGGAGCCTACCAGCTGAGCCCATCAGCCTGTCTTCAGCGTTCTTCAGTCTCCTCAATCCCTACAGGAAGGCCCAAAGCAGAAAATATTATATCCATTGACACAGCTATTGTTTAACCAACACATCTGGGCACCAGCAGGGCAAATCCTCACCCTCAATGATCTAAGTGTACAGTAAATGCACTTCTAAGAACCATGGATTAGAGAGCTTATCACCTTGGCAACCTATTCCTAGAGTCCTGAAATGTAAGGTGACCTCACTGTCCTGACTCATATCAAGTCAACTATGGAAATTAAAAGACTACTATGAACAAACACACCATTTAGGAATCACATTGCTATGATCAATTCAACAGATTCAAAGAATACTTAAAAAGAGAATGTCACTCAAAAAGTTAAATACAGAATTACCATATGATCCAGAAATTTCACTTCTGGGTGTACACCCAAAAGAATTCAAAGCAGGGACTCAAACAGATACTTGCACACCGATGTGCATAGTAGCATCATTCACAACAGTCAAAAGGTGGGAACAATCCAAATGTCCATCAACGGATGAATGGATAAACAAAATGTGATATAAACGTACAACGGAATACTATTCAGCCTTAAGAAGGAATGAAATTTTGACACATGCTACAACACAGATGAACCCTGTAGACATTATGCTAAGTGAAATAAGCCAGACACAAAAGGGCAAATATTGTATGATTCCATTTATATGAGGAACCTAGAACAGTCAAATTCACAAAGAAAGTAGAAAGGTGACTACCAAGAGCTGGAGGAAGGGCAAATGGAGAGTTATCACTTAATGAATACAGAGTTGCTGGTACAATGAAAAAGTTCTAGAAATGGATAGTGCGAGGGTTGGACAACATTGTGAATGTACTTAATATCTCTGAATTACAGTTAAAATGGTTGAAATGATAACTTTTGTTATGTATATTTTACTCCAATAAAAAAAATTTCAGGGCTTCCCTGGTGGCTCAGTGATTAAGAATCCACCTGCCAATGCAGGGGACGCGGGTTGGAGCCCTGGTCTGGGAAGATCCCACGTGCCGCGGAGCAACTAAGCCCGTGCGCCACAACTACTGAGTCTACGCTCTAGAGCCCACAAGCCACAACTACTGACCCGTGTGCCACAGCTACTGAGCCCTCACGCCACAGCTACTGAAGACCGCACGCCTAGAGTCTGCTCCACAACAAGAGAAGCCACGGCAATGAGAAGCCCACACACCGCAACGAAGAGTAGCCCCTGCTCGCTGCAACTAGAGAAAGCCTGCACACAGCAACGAAGGCCCAACACAGTCAAAAATAAATTAATTAAAAAAGTTTTCAATAAGGTGTTAGTGTTAATTGTGTTCCTTCACATGCATTATTTCATTTAATGTTTTGCAACCACAATGATTATTTCCTTCATTTTATAGATGAACTGAGGTCCTGAGAAGTTAAGTAATCTGCCAAAGTTCTCAGAGCTTATACACGGCACAGCTAAACTCAAACCTCCATCTTCTGAGGCCAAGTCCAGTGCCTGGTCCATTACACAAGAACTGCCTCACAAGTGGATACTATGTGGAGGGATGTAGCAGGGAGAGAGAGAGATATAGGAAGAGGGAGGGAAAGAGAGAAAGAGAGAGAGGTGAATTCCATGACTACGGCTATCATAAGATCACTGAAGAATAAAATTTGTCTCTACACATAGCATGACTATAGGAAAGGATATTTCTACACCAAAAAATAAAAATTATAACCGAAGCCCTTCCACTAGATTGTTTTTATTCAGAATATCTTTAAAAGAGGTAAGATAATTGTGAAAATAATTTCCCTACATATACATAGTTTATATCACATCAAGAAATTTCATGTTCTGATTAAATAAAAGCAAAATCCTTAAGTTCTTACTATTTTAACAGAGTATGGCCAATTCTAACAAATTTGGCCATAGAAATAATTGTATCCTCTCCCCCCAGAAGAACCAGACTCTCTTCCTCCCAATTTTTGGGCAAAAGAAATTATTTTACATATTCAGCATTTGTTATACAGCCCCACAGCGACTTAAGTCTCCATATATTAGTACAAAAGTACTAAAATATGGGAGAAAAAAACAGATTAGATTAGAAAGAAAAATATCTATGAGATCTAACTGCACTAACTTTCTTAGTGGCACATCAGAAAGAGTCAACAGTTTCTAACTCTAGTGCCCTGAAGTGTTTATGGTTTATCACCTACTCCTTAAGTAGTAGTAAAAGACTTGATCAAAAATAAATTAAATAGGAAGCTAACCAATGACTGGCTTCCAATATGATAGATATTTCTCGGGAAAAGACCAATATGGTTCAAGACACAGTATTCTTATTCAATTAACTATTGACGATCTATCATCCAATAGCAAATTAAATTCAAATCAACCTGCACATCAAATCCAGGATTTTAAAGTTAAAAAAAAAAAAAAATCCCTTTAGGGTCAATTAGGGGTAAAAGTGAATGATTTTACTTCTCCCCTCTTCCCAGTTTATACTTAACACAACTATCGCCTGTTTTCTTCTCCAAGACTCCCCTGTTGATAACATACATCATCTTATCGAAAACGTCTTTTCATCTCTATTTTCCCAACACTGCTCATACAACATATTCTGAGTTATTTTCCCCCTCAAAAAAAGAAATCCCAAGTCACACATGAAGAAGAAACGTAGCCAGTAAATGCTTCCTGTGTAGGGAAGATGGGAAATGACACAGGCCAGAAACATCCCACACCACAAATGTCAATTACACTAACAGCCCATTTGGAGGAAGCTGTTGAGAATAGATAAATCCTGTTGTCCCAGCCTAGGCAAGAGAGCGAGGTGTTCTTCAAGAAAGTCATTTTTTTCTCACAATCTATTTTTCAGAAGGGGACATTTAACAGGCCAATGTCCTTGAAAAACAAAGACATAATGGGATACTTCTTAAAAGGTTATCTCTGGGACTTCCCTGGTGGCACCGTGGTTGAGAGTTTGCCTGCCGATGCAGGGGACACGGGTTCGTGCCCCGGTCCGCGAAGATCCCACATGCCGCGGAGTGGCTGGGCCCGTGAGCCATGGCCGCTGAGCCTGCATGACCGGAGACTGTGCTCCGCAACGGGAGAGGCCACGACAGTGAGAGGCCCGCGTACCAAAAAAAAAAAAAAAAAAAAGGTTATCTCTTTGAAATAGTCTTCTTTTGAAGCCAGGGCGAGAAGTTGTGTGAATCAAGGCCATCTGAAACGTAATCTTGTCCCTTGCAATATACATAAGTTTTTACTCAGTTTGTGAGTTACATGCCTATAGGCTATGAATTCAAAGTTGTAAAAATATAAAAATATCTATCACCTCCAAAAGTTTCCTCCTGCCCCCTTTATTTATCATTGTTTTGTGTGCACCTGATTAAGAGCACTTAACATAAGATCTACCCTTGGCAAATTTTTAAGTATACAATACAGTATTGTTAACCACAGGCACCATGCTGTTCCATAGGTGTATACTTACTGCTCAACTCATCAAATTCTATACATTAAATATGTACACTTCTTGGTCTGTCAATCATACCTCAATAAAGTGGCTTAAAATTTATACATATAAATTTAAACTATATATATATATTCTTATAACATAAAAACTTTTTACAAAGCAGAGACCAATTTTGTTTTAAAAAAAATTCCAAGCATTCCAATCAAGGCAGAACTTGTGACTGAGACAGAGGAAAGAAGTCACATATTTCATCTCTTTGAGAGCTGAACAATCCAAAATAATTCTTCAAAAAGAAGTGATTTATCTTTCTGTCTACCAGAACCCCAGTTCCCCAAAGTGATGGCTTATGAATATTTTTTAAAGCAGTGGAATTTTATAAAAACAAAATCTTAAGCACCCCGCCTTTGGATAAAAGAGATAAGGTAGACTAGCACCAGCTGAAACAACGCTGGGAGACCCCGTCCAGGTACCCTTGACCTTCCCTTCAGCAGCCTCCCAGGCACCGTCATGGAAGCTGAAGGCTTCACCACGCACAGTTCGAAAACCAGCCCTTTGGTTTTCACTCTGGGCAAAATCAGTAATGAATGTTTTAGAAATAAATGACACACAGTAGCACGTCATAGAAAAAGAGTAACAAACAAGAAATCTGTTCACCATTGATTCATTAGAAATTGAGCCCTTCAAGCAATAGTCTGGGGAATCCCGAAGTCTTCTAAACGAATCTCCCCCGCACTTGAGATGTTTGTGAATGGCTCCAAGGTGTCGTAGTGTTTCTTCATTTATGTCTTATTAAGATTCACTGGTCTCGGGCTTCCCTGGTGGCGCAGTGGTTAAGAATCCACCTGCCAACGTAGGGGACATGGCTTCAAGCCCTGGTCCAGGAAGATCCCACATGCCACGGGGCAACTAAGCCCATGAGCTACAACTACTGATCCCACACTCTAGAGCCCACAAGCCACAACTACTGAAGCCCGCGCGCCTAGAGCCCATGCTCTGCAACAAGAGAAGCCACCACAATGAGAAGCCCGCGCACCGCAACGAAGAGTAGCCCCTGCTCGCCGCAACTAGAGAAAGCTCGCGTGCAGCAACGGAGACCCAACACAGCCATAAATAAATAAATAAATAATAAATTCTTAAAAAAAAAAATTCATTCCTCTCTACAACATGAAACCACCACTGGCAGAACTATCCCCCCGCCCAAACTACTAAACTAAATGGCAGGAAGCATAGAGGGGTGGCCAGAAGATGACCAACCACACACTCGCAGTTCCTCCTGACCTGCTCACGGAACCAACATCCTCGTAGGTACACTGACAATACACACACTCCCCTCCAGGTTTCCAGAAAAGTCTTCCTTCCAGAGAGCCAGTAACTCACTCTTACTGGCTTGCTCAACTTGTTTTGCCTCACACTTCACATTTTACCTAAAATAAGAAAGTGACTTGAATATTCCATCCTCCTGCTTGATTTAAAATGGTAACAATTATAATTACTTTTACAGTTATTACAAGTGCGACTGAGCCTCTTTTTGGATGTCAAGAACCCAATGAGAAAAGAATTTTGGTAGCGAATGTAA